TGGTGCCGTTGTCCCGGTGCCAGCCTGGGGCTGTTCGGTGTCCCCTGTCCCCTCTGTCCCCGGTGCCACCCCCAAGGTCCCCAAACCCCTCCCCGGGAGGTGACAAAGGTGACAATGGGGACATCGGGGTGGAGCTGAAACCTCGGAACGCTCGCATTATTTCTCTTTTTTTTCTTTTTAAAAAACCCCATTTTTAATTTTTTTTTTTGGGAATTTTTTTTATTCTTTCTTTTTATATTTTTGCTGTTCAAGTGCTGAGTTCGGCCCCGCCCCCCCCTCCCCCGGGACCCCCCCCGGGACCCCCCCGGGTCCCCCCGGAGCGCCAGAACGAGGGACAAAAACAACGGACGGACCAACAGAAAAGGAACCTAAGACGTCACGCACAGCCCGAGAGCGGGAAATAATTAGAATAATTAGAATAATTAGAATAATAATATACTCGGGGGGCCGCCACCCCCCCTGCCACCCCCTGCCTGTGGCACCAGTCAGAGCCGGGCACTGGGACCAGTAAGAGCCGGGCACTGGAACCAGTTAGAACTGGGTACTGGAACCAGTTAGAGCCGGGCACTGGAACCAGTTAGAACCAGGGACTGGGACTGGTCACTCCTGGGCACTGGGACCAGTCAGAGCCAGGCACTGGGACCAGTTAGAACCGGGCNACTGGGACTGGTCACTCCTGGGCACTGGGACCAGTCAGAGCCAGGCACTGGGACCAGTTAGAACCGGGCACTGGGACCAGTTAGAGCCGGGCACTGGGACCAGTCAGAGCTGGGCACTGGGACCAGTTAGAACTGGGTACTGGGACCAGTCAGAACCGGGCATTGGGACCAGTCAGAACCGGGCATTGGGACCAGTTAGAGCTGGGTACTGGGACCAGTTAGAGCTGGGCACTGGGACCAGTTAGAGCTGGGCACTGGAACTAGTTAGAGCCAGGTACTGGGACTAGTTAGAGCCGGGTACTGGGACTGGTCAGTCCTGGGTATTGGGACCAGTTAGAACCAGGAACTGGGACCAGTCAGAGCCACGCACTGGTCCCAGTGCCAAGGGGTAACTGGTCCCAGTGCCCAGGACTGACTGGTCCCAGTACCCAGTTCCAACTGGTCCCAGTGCCCGGCTCTGACTGGTCCCAGTACCCAGTTCCAACTGGTCCCAGTGCCCGGCTCTGACTGGTCCCAGTTCCCACCCTCCCAGTCCCCTCCAGTGCCACCTCC